CCTAGCAGTTCGAAAGCACATCAAAATGCAAGTAGATAAATAGATACCACTCCAGCGGGAAGGTAAACGGCGTTTCCTTGTGCTGCTCTGGTTCGCCAGAAGCAGCTTAGTCATGCTGGCCACATGACCCGGAAGCTGTCTGCGGACAAACGCTGGCTCCCTCAGCCTATAGAGTGAGATGAGTGCGCAACCCGAGTCGTCTGCGACTGGACCTAACGGTCAGGGGTACCTTTACCTTTACAGTTAACATTCAGCATGGTGAAGATCATGCAGGTAGGGAGAGATTCAGACCAGAGAGAAAGGGGAATGCAAGCCAAAGAGGAAAAACCAAAATGAATCCCTTGTGAAGAGACTGAGAATGGTCACATCTGCCCCCAAACCATTAAAGACCTAATGGACACTCACACATTGTGATCTATGCCAACAAAGGCTCTGGAACAACCAGTGCTGTCAAGTGTATATCCTAATGGGTTTTTTTTCAATGCCAAGAGAAAACCTTTTGCTTCATCCAAGTATTTTTAAACAACTCCTGTAGTTCAGACCTTTTAGTTTTAAATCTGTTTTTTAAACTTTAGGGTCGTGGTGAACATTCTATTCTATTCAATTCTATATATTATATTATATTATATTATATTATATTATATTATATTATATTATAATTATATTATATTATATTATATTATATTATATTATATTATATTAATTATATTATATTATATTATTATAAGCTCTGTATGCCACCCTTCATCTGAAGATTTCAGGGTGGTTCACAACATAAAATTACAATATAAATAAACACAAAATACCTAATAAGAACAGTGATAAAACAATACCCCTAAAATGAACACATTTAAAAGGACATAGACTATTAATCAACCAAAGGTCTGGTTGAAGACATGAACACAACTAACCCAGGTTTCTTACTGGTCTTTGTCTGCTTTACCACTTTGTCTATCTTGTGGGCATGGGGAAAGAGAAGACACCCAGCTAAGATGATCTTTCTAGGGAATGCCAGGGTTTTTCAACCCCAGGGTACAGCAGAGAAGCAAGTGTATACCATCTGGGAAATCTACAGAAGTGCAATGGTGGTTTCTGTTTATGTAACTATCATGGCGTCGTATCCTGCAATGGCCCAAATGACGTTCTAGATAACTAAATGAAACATACGTTGGTTTGCAGGGATACGTAGACGAACAACATATCAATTTTTAAATGCATTATTCAGACCGAATTTAACTAAACACAACAAAATGATGCCCCAACAAGCAAGTTAACTACAAGGACTGTGTTAATTAACGGCTTAGTGGAGCATGGCAGTAATTTCATAGCTCTTGCAATTCCCTTTACACTAAAATTCAAAGAGATCTTAAATAATCCAGTTAATTCACTGTGCACTTGATACACTTAAATAAAATGGAACATTATCGCCGCGAATGATGGAAACATGCTTTCAAAGATGGAAGATGGAAGATGCAAGACAGTTCAATGAATGAATCATAAACGTTTTTCCACCACCATGTGTTTTACTGACAGAGTGATGGAACACTGACAACAGAATAACAGCAGCAGCAGCAGCGACATAAATAAATTTATATATTTCTTAAAGCTGAAATAGGCCCCTAAGTGGTTTACAAAGTGCAAAAAGCCACAAATATTTAAATATAAGCACCCATAAATAAATCAGGCAATGTTGCTGTTTAGTCGTTTAGTCATGTTCGACTCTTCGTGACCCCATGGACCAGAGCACTCCAGGCACTCCTGTCTTTCACTGCCTCCCGCAGCCTCCCGCAGGCAATAAAACAATCCAATTAAACAAAGCAATTTAAAAGGTCAGGAGATCAAGGGAATGCCTATGTAAACAGGTCCATTTTCAAAAGCCAACAGAATGCCAGTACAGATGGGGCTATCGTACTTCAGCAGAGACACCCTCCTCCATCATTCCGTATCATGCTGGTTTTCAGAACTGTTCAAGCCCACATTGGCTAGGCTCTGAAACTATGTGTTCCCACTATGCATTCCAGTTTCATACAACATTGTTCAGTCACAGCTGGGCTCCTGACTTGCTCCAGTCCATGGACCAACCATGGCCTGCCCAATGTATGAACCCCCACTTCAGAGCCCAGTTTGGGTCGGGTGATTCTCAGAAATGGGGACCTGCAGAGAGATAGGGGAGCTGGCAGAAAATTGTGCAAGCAGAAACGCATCCCATGCTTGACAACTCCGGCCCCTTTGTTACTGCTGTTTGCTCCATGTTTTAAAAACACAATATGCTTCCCACCCCCCTTCCGATATTAATATCCCTGTAATCATACACTGCAATCAATGGCAATATCATTAATAAACCATGGAAATGCTGAACAGTGAGAACATTACTCAGTCTAGAGATCCGTCTCTTTTTATTATGACAGGCATACAACTAGTTTTCTTTTCAGTCCTATTTATAAAAGCCCTTATCTTATTAAGTAGTATCACATCTCAAGTTAAAAGCAGCGAGTAAAGGTACGCTACAAGATCTTTTTCTGGGCTCAGCAGTCCTTAAAGTGAGCTGATGAGAGAATGAAAAGGGAGAGATTAAAAATGATGAGTTCAGAGCCTCACAGGAGATAATTTTCATTTAATCTGCTGAAGTGGCACACGCTGCATTCTGCTGCCTTATTGTCATTGCAATCTGAAGGACTATTACCGAAACAACTTTCACCTATGGAAGAGCAAGGCTGCATATGTAGAGCTTAGTTCTTTAATTTGGAACGCAGCCCTTACCGGCACTAAGCACACAGTTACGAATTGACTTTGAAGTCCCATTAAAGCAGGCATAGGCAAACTCCGGCCCTCCAGATGTTTGGGACTACAGCTCCCATCATCCCTGACCACTGGTCCTGTTAGCTAGGGATGATGGGAATTGTAGTCCCAAACATCTGGAGGGCCGGAGTTTGCCTATGCCTGCATGAACGCCAACAGGTTTCCAACTGAGGTGCGGGGCTAAGAGAAGCCCATGTAGCTCCCAGATACCTCTGCCACTTTTCCAGAATGTTGTACGTGGCTTGAATGGCATGGAGCCAGACCTGTCCCTGGCTCAGTTCTTAACTATGAGTGCCTGTGTGTCTTCCCAATTGACCTGAATTAATCGTACGACAAGAGCACAGAGCAGCCAAGACAGATGGCACTTGCCCAATCTTCACATGTGTGACAGGCTGGGCAGAAATCATGTTGCCCTTCATAAAACAGGGAAAGGAAAGGTGAGACTTCACCACAAGACTTCATTCCGCCCCACTCCTTTGCCCCGGAGGCACTCAGTACAAGCTGCTGCCCAGTATGTGGTGGCCAAAAGAACATATAAGGGAAGACTCATTATACTATGAGAATCTTTAGTAAGCTACTTTGGAGCTATAAAGCAGGATAAAAGTGCTCAATGAAATATGCTAGGATTCCAAACCAACCACAGTGGTACCTCGGGTTAAGTACTTAATTCGTTCCGGAGGTCCATTCTTAACCTGAAACTGTTCTTAACCTGAAGCACCACTTTAGCTAATGGGGCCTCCTGCTGCTGCCGCACCGCCGGAGCACAATTTCTGTTCTCATCTTGAAGCAAAGTTCTTAACCTGAAGCACTATTTCTGGGTTAGCAGAGTGTGTAACCTGAAGCGTATGTAACCCAAGGTACCACTGTACCTGACTGATTTCAGAAGCTTCCCCATGACATTATGGTACTGGATTGTGCACGTTTCGTGCACAGAACATTTTGTTTTGTTTTGCTTTGATTTGATTGCCATTCTGTTTCATGTCTACATGACACATGCAGCTATTCGGGGATTTGGAGCGACGCATCAGACATTAAGCTCTGTTTCCCCTTTTCCTTGAACCCAGGTGTGACTGTGGACATTCTAAACAGGTATCAGGAGTCAGAAATGAGATGGCTGAAATTCAATTACTCGATCAATATATTTGTGGATGGGGACAGAGTTGACCATGAAATAGTCAACTCTGGTTTGGATGACATTGCACTATTCCTAAAACCGGGTTCACAGCAACAGAGTGCTGTTAGGTGGATGTTCATACAAGTGTGATCTGCTGGCAATATCTAGGTTAGATTCCTGCTACATGGGGTCAGCTATGCAGACTTCAGGTGATGTTTTTAAGCACCAGGTAAAAGCAGCTTTGATTTCCTGGCTTTTAATTGCCTTCGGTGGTTTCCCTGTTGATTTTGATGGTTTTACTGTTGGAACATTTTTTATTGCTATTGTTTGACAGTTTCTTTACCTGGTGATCCAAGGACTTTTACGCAGAAATGTAACGAACATAAAATAAACTACTTAGCAATGGCTTGCAGCACAGTCCTATGCAGGTTTTTGCAGAAATAAGCCCCAGAGTCTGAGGAAACTTGCTACTTAATAATAGTAATAATATTTAGATGTATTAGTCACTTATTACCAAGGTTTCCAAGCGACTTACATAAACATAAACACATTATATCATTAAAAATTCATATAAACCATTAACATTAATACTGCAAACACCTACAATTCACACGTGCACAGGGAGACCACCCCCACCCCCTGGCATAACAGCCAAGGGGAGTTTTGGCAGCACACTAACAACATAACAAAATCAGCTCAGTAAATAAGAATGCAGAGATGTAGACTTGCATACATATCTAGTAACCAGCTAATGGTATCTGGCAGCTTGGTCACCATGCAGACTAAGCAACAATTCCTCCCGCCAGCCACACTTTCTTTTTCATTTATTTATTTTTTAAAGTACACGTGGGACCTGGCAACACAAGACTGTAGTACCCTCATTATCTAACACCAAGTTTCTTGCTTAGGGGCCTAGGCAGCCAGCCCTGCCCCATTCTGGAATGCCATTCCATTCTCTCCTACACACCACTTTCCTTTTCCAACTGATAGTCAACATTTCATAATTAGTGAGCATGCTCATTTCACATTGGGGGGTTTTTTGTGGAGGAGGTTGCCCCCTTTGGTGGATTTTTTATTTTTATATTTTCTAAGATTCTGCAATACTGGGGTCCCCAGCCCTACCCTAAGTATAGGACTAAAAGGTAAAGGGACCCCTGACCATTAGGTCCAATCGTGACCGACTCTGAGGTTGCGGCGCTCATCTCGCTTTATTGGCCTCGGGAGCCGGCGTACAGCTTCCGGGTCATGTGGCCAGCATGACTAAGCTGCTTCTGGCAAACCAGAGCAGCGCACGGAAACACCGTTTACCTTTCCGCTGGAGCGGTACCTATTTATCTACTTGCACTTTGACGTGCTTTCAAACTGCTAGGCTGGCAGGAACAGGGACTGAGCGACGGGAGCTCACCCCACTGCGGGGATTCGAACAGGCCGACCTTCTGATCAGCAAGTCCTAGGCTCTGTGGTTTAACCCACAGCGCCACCCGTGTCCCGCCCAAGTATTGGACTATCCCTCCTGTTTATCAGTGGTCTCAGTTTGTCTACAATCCTGTCAGCGCCTACTATCCAAGTTTGCTGTTTAGCAGGACTGATAGCAAGAAAGGGAAATGAAATTCTGGAAAAGTCATATTGAGCAACAGCATCTGCTGTTCTGCACTACACTACACGTTCCGTTATATATGTATATATGCTAACACTCAGAGCCTCTGGGACTAAATGGAATAAAGACTGCATATGAAACCATGTTCGTTATCTTTATATATTTCCGATCCCTAGAATAAAAACGTGTCTTCGCTTCAAAGACTGTATGCAACATGTATGCAACAATATATTTGCAGCACAACATAATTTTCCAGGCTGGTTTACAGCCTCTGCAGGTTTCACTTCATTACTAGTCAACTTACTTAGTCTCTTAGCAGCCTCAAGAGCATCATTTGCAGTGTCAGCCACGAAGAATCTCTGAACTGTGACCCCGTGATCAGCCATCAGTTTCTTACTCTGGTATTCCTGCAGGTTTAGCCATCGTCTAGGGGCCAACTGAACAGCCTACAGAAATGAGATGGGGAGGAGATCACAATGTTCATTATGAGCAGTTCATGCAGCAGTCAACAGAGCTATTAAGCAGCATAGTTGTGGTCACCTGCAACCTGCAATAAACAAAGCTAGGAAATAACTCTTTAAGATTTTTGCATAGAGTACACTGTATGCATGTTTATGAGCAAAATATTCCGCATCCTTAGAAGAAGGCATTTAGATGGCACCAGTGTATGGTACAGTACTTCTTAATTTTATCCAGGTGTGCTCTAGCTTCTGTGAAATAAATTGCATCTTGATGGTTTCCCTCTCCCAAGCTCCCAAAGCACAAAACATCGTTATCAGGTTATTAGATAAGGTTGTTCACGCTTCCATCCAGACAAGTCCCAGTCACAATATTGGGGTTTATTCTTGTGTAACTGTGAGATTTTCTGTCTTAATTTCAGTGCAGTTCTCACCTGAGTTTCAGACTTTCCAAGCATCCCCAAATGAACAAGAAACGTACATTTTTTTTAAAAAGGCATCAGGGCCAAACAGGTTCTAAATAAAATCTATATTTTAAAAAAATGAGAGCCACTGTGATCTAGCAGATATTTCATCCATATCCACTGGTGGATATCTAGCGGAGTACTGGTTAGGGAGCCCTGTGCTGCAATCCTTCATCAGCCATGAATCTGTTATGTGCTCCAAATCTGGCTACTTCTCTCCTCAGCTATGCCCCTAACTCCTTCCAATTGTGGCTGAATTGTGCAGAAAGAGAAAAAGGGGGAGACAGAGAAACCTTTGCATGGAACTGAAGAGGGTTGAATTGGCTGTTAAATTTCTATTTCCTATACAGCTGAAGATCTGAAAATCTATGGAATGGGGCAAGTTGGCCCTCAGTGCCGAACACAATGAACGCTTAAGATCTAGCCTACTATTACAATCTTGTAACAGCATGGATTCTTCTAGCGCCACAACTATTTCAGATTTTGCTGCTATAATCACTTTCAAGTTGACCTAAAATTAGAACCTGATCAGCTTAAGCCGCTTCTTCAAGCCCTATGATCCTGTGCATACTTACTTTAAAAAAATAAGAATTATGCTATTTAAATATTTGTGAGCATGGCTACATTTGACACTAGTTCAAACCAAAATGCCAAGATTAAAAGGTGTCATAGATCTTGAACCATGGTCCCTGGGCCTCATCCCCTTTGCCACTCAGGCATCAGTCAGGCCATATAACCACAACACATTATCAAGCTGGGATAGCTCAGTCGGCAGAGCATGAGACTCTTAATCTCAAGGCTGTGGGTTCGAGCCCCACGCTAAGCAAAAGATTCCTGCATTGCAGGGGGTTAGACTCAATGACCCACATGGTCCCTTCCAATTCTATGAAGGGCTCTGTGGCGCAAGGGATCAGCATGTCTGTCTGTTAACTAGAAGGTTGGTGGTTCGAACCCATCCAGGGATAGCTGTGGGCAAGATTCCTGCATTGCAGGGGGTTGGACAGGGTGACCCTTGGCTTCTCTTCCAACTCTACAATTCTATGCCCCCGGAGGCCAAAATTGTGAACTACACAAACTCTAAACTCCATCCAACCACTGCCTGCTCCACCTGGAAAACCAAACTTCAAGCTACGCCACACGCAGCCCAGTGTTCAACATATACTATGTAAGGAATGGGGATCCTGTGGCTCTCTAGATGTTGATCAACTCCCGTTTCCATCAGCGCCAACCAGCACGGCCACTGGTCGCCAAAAGTGAGAGCTGTAGTACCAACAACATTTGGAAGAAGAAGAAGAAGAAGAAGAAGAAGAAGAAGAAGAAGAAGAAGAGTAGTAGTAGTAGTAGTAGTAGTAGTAGTAGTTTGGCTTTGATATTCCGCTTTATCACTACCCTAAGGAGTCTCAAAGTGGCTAACATTCTCCTTTCCCTTCCTCCCCCACAACAAACACTCTGTGAGGTGAGTGAGGCTGAGAGACTTCAGAGAAGTGTGACTGGCCCAAGGTCACCCAGCAGCTGCAGGTGAAGGAGCGGGGAAGCGAACCCGGTTCACCAGATTACGAGTCCACCGCTCTGAACCACTACACCCTGCACTATACGATACTGTCTAAGTTGCTAGCTGTCTGAGCAACTTAGAGGTCCTGGACACACCTGCTACAAATTCTCACTTGCTTATCCATCTTGAAACCTTGCTAACTCAACGTGCAAGGCTAACCCGCCCTTTCGCCCCCAACGCTGAGTATGCCAGTTCTTCCCTTGTACTCTTCCACATGCTTGCGTTATCTGGCATACAGGTGCGACCCTGCAAAGGATTGGCCCCATAATGAGTTACTGACAATCATGTTAGAAGTCACAGTAAGGGCATAAGAACAGCCCTAGTGGATCAGGCCAGAGGCCCATCGAATTAATCATCCTGTCTTCACAGAGGCCTATGGGAAGCCTACAAGAAGGACCCAAGTACAACAGAGCTCTCTAAATTTGTGATGCCCAGTACAGTGGTACCTTGGGTTAAGTACTTTATTTGTTCCGGAGGTCCGTTCTTAACCTGAAACTGTTCTTAACCTGAAGCACCACTTTAGCTAATGGGGCCTCCTGCTGCTGCCGCGCCACCAGAGCACGATTTCTGTTCTCATCCTGAAGCAAAGTTCTTAACCTGAAGCACTATTTCTGGGTTAGCAGAGTCTGTAACCTGAAGCGTATGTAACCCGAGGTACCACTGTAACTGGTGTTCAGAGGCGGGCTGCCTCCAACCATAACCAGTCCTCCATCCATTTGTCCATTCCTCTTTTCAACCCATACAAGTTGGCGACCATCGTTGCCTCCCATGGGAGGGGGCATCATAAGGGTGTCATATGACCATGTAAAAGTATTTCCTTTGGTCTGCCCCGCATCTTTCAGCAGTCAGCTTCATGGGCTGCCCCTAAGTTCTAGTAATAAGAGAGAGGGAGGAAAAACTCGCTGTAAATAGCAATGAGAAGTCAACCTAAGCAACTGTAGTACTACCCAGCCGTGCTGTAATTACATTCTATGTCCTGTGGAAGACATCCTCCTTATGGAGAGATGAACTGTGCCCCTCTGGCAGCTAACCTGCTAGAATCAAACAGCTGTTCGTCAAGCAAAAAACCACTATTGGTCCACCAGCTGAGACAAAACAGACACACAGGGATTATTTATTAGATTAATACTGCAATGTGTTTATATCTATCTATCTATCTATCTATCCACACACACACGGTGGAGATGCGGGTTCTTCCTCGACAGCTTTGCATTACAGGAAAAAAAAGTAATTATCTCACAGCTATATACGTCTATGGCTTGCATGCAATATTAAAGCCTTATATCAAAAGCAGCCGCCCATCTGCTGCTGCCTCTACTTTATGACTGTACATCATGGACCACGACCATCAAAACATGCAAGTTTTGTAGGATGCAGTAAATAGGCAGCGCCACAAAAAAGTGAATAACACAAAACAGTAAGAACGTGTTGACTTCCCTTGCAATAAACTGGCGTTTAAAGAGTATATTTGGAGATTTATTTATTTATTCAATCTACACAGGAGGGCTGGAGCTGGAACGAAAAGCTTTGTTATGTGCAAGGAACGCTGTATGAGAGAGAGAGAGAGAGAGAGAGAGAGAGAGCTCTACAGGCTCTCAAATGCCTGGGAATGCTACACAGAGTGAATCTTCCATGGAGGGAGCACTTTATGGCCCAGTTGGAATGTACGCAGCTCAGCTTATGCAAGCATGCGATGAACAAGCCTCGAACCTGCCTTTTGTGTTCTCAGCGCACCACAACTCAACATTTCCAAAAATGTTCCTCTTTAGTCAGGCCATTGGTTGACTGACATTCAATGCCTTTTAAAAATGTCCCGGGGCAGGAGGGGTAATTAGGTTGCTCTTGTTTTTAATTTTGATTATGTATTTTGTGGTTTTATATTGTGGTTTTATCCTGTAAACTGCCCTGAGACCTGTGCGTATAGAGCAGTATACAAATCATTATTATTATTAATTTCCCAGGCTAATTGACCATCGTTTCTAATGCCCCAGTCAGGAAACTTCTGATTACCAGGTTCAGAGCATGCCAGGATCTTAAGCCAACTCCAAACCATGGTTTATGATCTTGGCTCATTCTGGTCTTAGTAGGTGTAGTCTCCCTAGCTTGGACATAAATGGAACTATGGTTCATTAAATCAAGAAACACTGAACCACAACACATGAGGTTTCCAGCAAATGGTACCCAAGAAGATTTGCTGCCTCCAACTGGCTAGTAGCTAATCATGGCTAGTAGCTAATCCTAGCCTTCTGCTCCATGAATATCCCTAACCCTCTTTTAAAGCCATCAGAGTTTGTGGCCATCTCCTGTAGATGCAGGTTCCATGGTTAAATTATGTGCTGTGTGACAAAGTACAGTGGTACCTCAGGTTAAGAGCTTAATTCGTTCTGGAGGTCCATTCTTAACCTGAAACTGTTCTTAACTTGAGGTACCACTTTAGCTAATGGGGCCTCCCGCTACCACCACGCAATTTCTGTTCTCATCCTGAGGTAAAGTTCTTAACCCGAGGTACTATTTCTGGGTTAGCGGAGTCTGTAACCTGAAGCGTCAGTAACCTGAAGCGTCCGTAACCCGAGGTACCACTGTACTTTTTTTTCTTTGTCCTGAATCTTCCAACATTCAGCTTCACTGGAGGTACAAGAGTACTAGCACTATGAGAGAGTGTAAAAAAACCACAACTTTTCTCTATCCAACATTATAAACTTCTAACATGTCACCCACAACTTTTCTCTAAGCTAAAAAGTCCCAAATGAGATGCCTCAATTGGCTCTTGGTTGCAGAACCTGACAAAGACAGGCTGTGATGCTAACTTCAAAATGACCCAGAGATATACAGACTTTGGCTTGCCTTGGGCTGCCCAAAAATCCTAATGAGCTTCCAAGGCTCAGAACCGTTCTGAGATGCATCCTCCCAACAGGAAGAGGTCTGGACCTTTTCCATATCCTGCTATTCTTACAAGATGCCTCTGTTGCCTCCACAGCGCAGTTCAGACCAGCCCCAGTCCAATGTTGAAGCTCGAAGCTAAGGAAGAAAGTGAGGGGGAAATGACCCTGGCTTTGGGTTTTTTATTTCAAAGACAGCTTCAGAGGCCCAACGCATCTCAGAACAGGCTACATACTGATTCCCAAGACTGAGGCTGGAAAGATACATCCTCATCTATGAAGTTGACATGCGCTTGCAAGGCGCTCGTAGGGCTTCCTGGATGCAGTTCCTCACAGACCAGCTCTCCTTCAGCCTTGAGGGCTTTTAGATGCAAAGCCGGGAATCAACACTCAGGAGAAAATGAGCTCAGGCACTTCCTCAGAAGCAGGCAACCCACCTCTCAATGGAAGAGGAAGCCTTTGACCAAAGGAAGGAGGCATGTGGCTTAAATGACAGTCAGTGGTACCTCGGGTTACACAGGCTTCAGGTTACATAGGCTTCAGGTTACAGACTCTGCTAACCCAGAAATATTACCTTAGGTTAAGTACTTTGCTTCAGGATAAGAACAGAAATCATGCTCTGGTAGCACGGCAGCAACAGGAGGCCCCATTAGCTAAAGTGGTGCTTCAGGTTAAGAACAGTTTCAGGTAAAGAACGGACCTCCGGAACGAATTAAGTACTTAACCCAAGGTACCACTGTAATAGGCAGTTGCTGTCTAGTCAACAGAGAGCCCTTGTTGATGGGTTGGGGAAGGCCCCTCAAACCCTCCAACAGCAATTTGCAAACCTGGTGAGAGTCACAACCCCGCTTATTTAGGTTCGGAAACTCCCAGCTGCCATCTTAAAGGCAAGAATAAAATGTGTAAGACCCAAAAAAAAAAGCAATGCACATTTTTACTATGATTTTCCTTTCTTTTCTATTTTTTGCCCTTTAGACGATGGTTCAGCATGCACAGTATTTGCCGAATACAGGCTGAAATTGACATTTGCTGAAGCTCTCGCAAACTAAGTTATTTCCTTTCCGCCCCACTCTGGGTAAAGAAGCGCAGCTTGGCTTTGTGCATGGGCCCGTGCATGGGAGCCTGCCAACGTCCCCCCTCCGCGTACAACCGCTTTGAGCGAACGCCAGGCTCCGCGCTGCAGTAGGGGAATGGAGTTGCACAGATGCTTAGAGCTGTCAGAGGTGACCTTGAGGCTCGCAGCCAAGTTCGCTGCACAGTTAGCTGGGGTTTGTGACAGGCTCTTTGTTTGCCTCTGCAACTAAGGAGCAGCAGGAACGAGGACCTCTGGGGGCAACTAACAAATGGGGCTGGAGGAGCAAGATGCATTTGAGGCCGAGGCAGAAGAGAACGCATCGCTTAACCTCAAGTCACTCAAGGTCTTGTGCGCTGGGGGGGAAACAAAGGAAGCAAAAAAGAAAGGTCCATTTTGAAAATCTCGTCTCCCTCTCTATAAAAACTGCAACACTAAATGAACATGATGGGATTGCAATAAAATGGGAGGGAATGAAGGGAACAGATAATCAGCTTTTTATCCTTTCACTACAATCATACGGGTCAGTTTTGGCATTCTGCTCGCTCGGGTTTCTGCAGGCGCCTTTCCACGCCTGTATTTGTCTTGTTTTGTAACCTTTTTAAGATCATGACTGCTGCCCAATGACTTTTCATTTAGAAACATTCATGAGTCCTGGAAAAAGCTTTCTAAAACAGAGACCAGCTTTTCCCAACCTGGTGCGCTCCAGATGTTTTGAACTACAGCTCCCACTGACTGTGTTGGCTGGGGCTGTTGAGAGCTATACAGTGGTACCTCGGGTTACAGACGCTTCAGGTTACAGACGCTTCAGGTTACAGACTCCGCTAACCCAGAAATAGTACCTCAGGTTAAGAACTTTGCTTCAGGATGAGAACAGAAATTGCACGGCGGCGGCAGCAGGAGGCCCCATTAGCTAAAGTGGTGCTTCAGGTTAAGAACAGTTTCAGGTTAAGAACGGACCTCCAGAACGAATTAAGTTCTTAACCCGAGGTACCACTATAGTCCAAAAACATCTGGACGGCAGCAGGCTGAAGGTTGACCCTGGCCATTACGATTAATGTCACAGATGTAAAAGCACCATGCACATCTTCAATGTCATTAAAACACCACGGGAATATATTTAAATTATTGTTGCATTGCAGTGGGTTGGACTAGATGACACTTGGGGTCCCTTCCAACTCTACAATTCTACGATTCAATGAAAACATCTTGCAAAATATTAAACCTATGAAACCTTAAAAATGAGCTATGGGGAACCTGTGGCCCTAATTAGGTGACCAGGTCTAATGTTTATACTGTGCTGCAAATCACTTTGAGACGCTTTTGCGAGTAACACTATTGATAAATATAAATGATCATAGGTCCTTTAAACATTTTAAATTACAATTCAATAAACAAGAAAACTTTTCAGTTTATAAGAAGTTGTGCCAAGGGCTTTCCATGTTCACTCAATGTTGGGAAATTAAATCTATGAAAGGGTATGCCCCTAACATATGCATTTTTTAGACAGTATTTCTACGACATCCAATCCTGTGGTTAGTTCCACAGACATGGTGCTGGGTGGCTTGCAAGTGACAGGGTGGCAATCCCAGATTTGTCTGCTCTCTGAATCAGACAAACAAGAGCTTATGCAAATGAAATTCCCATTCCAGGTTCGGTGCCGAACTAAAAAGCGATACCATCCACGGCAAAACATCGTAAGGCGTCTTCTCTTTGAGCCAATTAAGTGAGAGAATGAACAGGATGGAGACTAACATTGTGCTAACGCCAGAACAATGTCACCCATGCAGTGTGAGCTGTTGTGATTCCTCAACCCCAGCCCTCCCTAGGATACAGGTGAAGAGAAAAACAAGCAGTGCTGCTTGGGGCAGAGGCTCCCCCTGTACCTTCCACAGAATAGGGCAAGCTCCAATAACAGCCACATGCCCTTTTCACGATAGAAGCAAACACTTGCAGAATCAGACAAGGGCCTTTTAAGACAGAACTTCTTCCAAGACACAGGACCAAGTACAATATAATCCTAACCGGTCCTCATAAGACTTCAGGTGGCCTCAACTCTCCCCTGAGAGAACATCTCTCCATAGCAGAGGTAGGGAGGCTCACTGGAAGCTGTCCAGGGTCCTGATTTCTTTAAAGAAAAGAGACCTGACCAGGCTTTGCCTCTGACCTTACCTGCTTCATTCTAAAGCTACTGAAATATCAGGACAACTAAAAAATAAATAAATGCATTGCGTCATGTAGGCAATAAGTCCTTGTTTCATCACCAAATAGGACATAGGATAAATCAGAATAGCTGGTTAGAAGACAACAGGTGAGAGCTATTTTGGAAGGTAAAATATTATGTACAAATCTGGATGTGAGCCATTTGGCCGTTACATTCAAGAAATATGCCTTCTTGTCAAAGCCCACAGCTATAGTACCTTCTCCCTTCACAGATTTTCATTTAGTCATTGGCCAAGTTCTTAATATATGCTCAGAACACACAAGTGCACACTCACGTTCTCAATGAACAAACTCTGCAGATTAGTTGCTAGGCATAGGATTCTGGGAGAGAATAAACCCAAATGGCAGGTACAATGGAGGGTACCATTGGTACTCCTGCTGGTACCCCTGCCCCCCCCCACTTGCCAGGGAAGGGATGAGAGAAACCACTGAGGGGGTGCATAGAAGCAAGGGATTTGAT